TTATTAAAAATTAGGATAAAATCAAAACATTATATTCAATTTATTATTATTTTATTTAGTAGTTACTTAGATTCATGGAACTCCTCACCCTATATAAAGAAGTCCCCATTCACCATTGTAAATAAGATTTCTTTGATTAATAATACAACGAGAATTTGTTTTTGCAAGTGTTGATTGTCTTGTGCCTTCGAAGCATTCTTCATCATTAAGTTCTTCAAGAGGGAGATCTTCACACTTCGGTTTGCCTTCTTATTGTGATTAGGAGGGATGTTTAGAGTCGATTATCGAGTTTTCCTAGTTAATTACGATTAAGAGGGTTCGTAAGACAACTATGTATCTATCTATTAATCATCATCATCATCATCATCAAATCACCATTGTTTCCTATCAGCACCAAAACCTTAATTTTGGCTAACTCATCATATCTTTATCTTCTTTGTCTTTGTTTATCTTATTTTCTTTATCTTCATATTAATCTTTTTCTCTTATCTTAATTTTCTATTGACTTTTTTCCCATTCGAAACCCTAGATTGTGACAACAATGTAATCCATCTTTCATCTCATTATTTGATTGAGTCTAGACCCTTAGGCTTAATTCTTTAACTACGAGCAACGTTCATCACTCCACTATCATCATCTATCAGTGATTGTCAAATTTATCAATATCATTATACTTTATGTGTATATAAATTTATGAATTAATTTGACATCTTTATCACATTGATCTAAGGTAATATTTTTATTAGTATTTTTTTATTAATATGAGGCAAGTACAAAACATTATCTGTTTAAAGATAACTCTCAACCATTTGACATTGAACGTTCACACCCCTAGCATTCTTAATGCTTGAACTCGAGACCTCAAGGAATAACAACAATTTCTTTACTACCGAGATCAATTAGTTCGTACATCTTTACTAGTATATTTAGCTTTTATTTATTTATTCATATAATAAATAAATAAAAATAAGATGGAGTTCCACTTAATTTTATGAATGGATAGCATATATTTCTTAACTTGCCCTCGAATATTTTCCAAAGCCATGATGAACTATACTAAACTAGGATGGAGTTCCTCGGACCCGCAGTGTCCAAGAATATGTGAAAATATTAGTACCCACATAACAAAAGAAATAAGGGTAAATTACACATTTAGTACCTAATCTATTAATATTGGTATGCTTTAGTATCTAAACTTTTAACTTTTTCAAAACCATACTTAAATTTTAGTTTTTGTTTCATTTTAGTATCTATCGTTAAAAAATTTAGTTTTTGTTTCATTTTAGAAAATCATCATTAAAACTATAGTTTTTGTTTCATTTTAGTGCACTGTTCAAAATTTAACGACAAATTTTTTAAAAAAATTGAAAGTTTGGGTACTAAAATGGACCAAAACTGATAGTTTAGAAATTAAACGTGTTAAGTTTTTAACGACAGAGTATTAAAATGAAGTGAAAACTAAATGTTAGGTATGATTTTGAAAAAAATGAAAGTTTAGGTACTAAAACGACCAAAATTAATAGTTTAGGTACTAAATGTGTAGTTTACCCAAGAAATAAATAAAAACTTTATTATTTTTAAAATAATTTTGGGTACTAAAATGGACCAAAACTGATAGTTTAGAAATTAAACGTGTTAAGTTTTTAACGACAGAGTATTAAAATGAAGTGAAAACTAAATGTTAGGTATGATTTTGAAAAAAATGAAAGTTTAGGTACTAAAACGACCAAAATTAATAGTTTAGGTACTAAATGTGTAGTTTACCCAAGAAATAAATAAAAACTTTATTATTTTAAAAATAATTTTGGGTACTAAAATGGACCAAAACTGATAGTTTAGAAATTAAACGTGTTAAGTTTTTAACGACAGAGTATTAAAATGAAGTGAAAACTAAATGTTAGGTATGATTTTGAAAAAAATGAAAGTTTAGGTACTAAAACGACCAAAATTAATAGTTTAGGTACTAAATGTGTAGTTTACCCAAGAAATAAATAAAAACTTTATTATTTTTAAAATAATTTTCCCATGTAATTTTTGTTGTTTTTTTAATTAAATAAATAAATACAAATGACCATAGAGCACGTAAAAGGTACTCATAGTGAATAAATAAAAGCTGAGGTTAATTTTACTCCCAACAAAGATTATGAAAAAATAAAAAATGTCGGTCTGAAAACTAAGACCAGGGACCAGAATCATTAGAAAAGAACAGGAAGACAGTCTGGCTGGCAAAGTGAGTTAACGTTTCATACTGAGTTAAGCTGACATCAAATCCGCCAAACACTTCAATGCCAGCAAATGGGGACATTTTCGTGGGTTTTTAATGTTCATTAATTTGTTAGGTTTACACACACATTCATACTTATATATATATATTTGCTTTGATGATCCTTTAACTTGTTATTTCTACTCTTTTATGTAATATTTATACATATATGAACACTTTATCATCTAATTGAAATTTAGAAACTATTTTAATATTAAAATTTATTAATTTTATATTTAGATTAAGGCTCAATTTTTTATTTGGGGAGTAAAATAAATTAAAGAGTAAACTATACAAATAGTCTCTTTTTATTTTTTATTTGACCGAATTAAAAAATTTAAAAAAATTTACGTTCCTCTTCATCTTCTTCAAATAGGAAAAAAAATTCATGTGCCTCTTCGTTTTCTTCTTCAAATAAAAACATATCAAATCACCCACTAATATATTTCAGCCAAACAATTTTTTTCCTCATAAATCTAATCTCATATATCTGCTAATCACAAATCTTAAAAACTATTACTTGACCACCCCAAAATAAATTTTTCTTACCTACTTAATTCTCGTCAAATATGGAAATTGCACCCATTCTAAATCATTAGCGGACAAACTCGTTGCTTTTCTCCTTCACTGTTACGGAGACAAGCAACTCCTCAACCTGCAACACCACTTTCGATGGAACTACAGTTGGATACTCTTGTGTCAACTTGTTTGTCTCATAAATCAAGTGAGCTTTCTTTTTATTGTTGTTATCGTCGTCATCAAACGAAGACTCATTTACATTACATTGTTGGCCAGAGCTTAACTACTATTTCGTTTTGTACTTGTACGAGTATCTCTGACTATCTTTGCTTTTCTATTCTTTTTTCATGCTAGAAATAGGAATGACAACCAATATTGCTTCCTTCTCTTTTTATTTATTCTGGAACGGAAAACTATATAAGAGAAAGGTGTAACTATAACGAACATGAATCACCGAGATTATTGTTATGGAGGAAGGGAAAGAGAGTGGACCAAGTTTCTTCAAAGACGGTTGATTTTGGATGAGCTAAGACTTTAGTCATTGCAAGCCCGAAAAAAAAAAAACTAGGCATTTGCCAAAGCACAAGACGTCTCTTATGCTAGAATCCTCTTAACTTCTGGTGTGGAGCTTGGTATACTGAGCTACAATGTTACAATTAAAATTGGTGGATGAAAAATGACGGTGAGTGTCGATACCGGAAGTTATTTAACTTGGGTTCGATACCAGCCTACAAAACAGTCTCATGTAATTCATCCCCGTGTCAGTCGCTTGCATATGTAACTGGGAACAGAGGAACCTGTGGGAAAGTCCCGCTGACCTATAATTATGTAGTGTTTATGGCGACGGGTCCTATACTACTCATGATTACATCAATCTATGGAAGACTGGTGGGAAAATTTGTGTTCGGGTGCGTCCGCAACAATAAAGGTCTCTTCCATTGTAATGGTCCAACGTGCCACGTAACATTTCTGTTAATCACTTAACGGAAGTTAACGGCCGAGGAACTTAAACTGAACATACCGATAGCGTAAGAGACCAAATGCACTGAATTTTTGAACCGATTACCAAATATAGTCGGACCAAAAACAAAAAGACATATTTGTATAGTTTACCCTAAATGAAAATGTAAAATATTTTTCCTCTTCATACTTAACAGAATTAAATTTCCCCATCTTCACATCGAATTTTTAGCTCCAACATCAAGAATGTATGCAGTAACATGATCTGTACGAGCTCCTAAGCTTTTATGAAAATTGCGCCTACAAAACAAAGGATAAAGCAGAAAGCAACCGTAATTGATCATTGTTTGTCGATCGAAAAGTTAACGAAGAAAGAGTATTTACCAGTCATGTAGTTTTCATTTGAAAGAAAGAGAAGTAAATTCGATGGTAGACTGAATCTCCCAGTACTATATTGCTTCCATTTGTTGCACCTCTTCATATATACAAGGGAAAAGAAGTGTTGGAATATACCTCTCACCAAAGCTCGGAAATATAACCTGCATCGTTATAAAAAGTACATCGGAAATTGATATGAATTGCTATGTTGCTCAAAGTCAAGTGTCAGATACGAGAACATATTAGAGAGTTATCAATTTTTTCTATGGTTTTTCAGGTACTGCAGGGTCATATCCTCGTATCCTTGTACAAATATTTACCAAGCTTAGGGTACTACGTGATAATATTCAGTTCCTACTGCTACCTGAATCACTAAGAAAATTCAAAGTAAATTTTCTCACCACAATAAGTTTTCACGGGTCTTTTGGCCAAGCTAATCGCAGCAGCTCCGGAAGAAATGCCAACCTAAAGAGAGAGAAAGTCACAATCAAATTATAAGATCAACACTGTATTTTGTCTCCTTTCATATTTTACACATAGGTGACAAGTGTGTTCCAGTTGAAGCTAAAGAATATTGGCTCTGTTTTGCTAGCAGGAAATTTTAATCTGAATCATAAGTAGACCACTTTTCACAAGAGTCGGAGGCACAAAAGAATTGAGGAAACCCATAGGAACCAAACACAATGGATCAGGCTGCATTATTGTCTGATGCAGATATCCGAAAACAAGAAAACAAAATATATATATTAGATAACCTAAAAATGATTATGAATGGAATCCTTTAGGGACCAATACATCCAGACCATCTCAAACATATAGCCTTACGCGGATATACCATTAAAAAGTAAGATTATAACCAAGCCAGAGCCATATGTTGCCTTACACAGAGAGAGGAAAAGCACAAGCCAGAAAACTGAATAGCAAAATTTGTGGTACAGCCTTTGGCTAACAATGATTAAACAGTGGAGACAATTTTAAATGGTGCAGTTGTGTTAGGATGGCCATATACGTTGTAAATCCTTGGCAAAATCCTTGGCTCTACGGAAAATTACAGATTTATGATCCGCATTTTGAACAATATTGAGTTCCACCAATTCTGGGAACATCATCTTCATGTCCTTGCTGCACTCCAAAGGTACTTCCATGTCCTCGTCACCATGGATGATGCTAACCTTCACAGATTTTGATTTGTTCAGAATTTCCAGATGTTCATCCGTCAAAGTTGCTCCCCCACATATCGTATTGTGCATGTTATGCCATGCTGAATGATGTGTGTGCCTTGTCAAGTCCACTTCCAAGAAATTCAGTTCCCTGTACATTTGGTAAAATCATAGATACACATGTTGGTCGAAATTTCCTTTTAAAAAAAGTTTCGAAATAATAAACAAGATGATACCTCCGAAGAGTGAATAGCTTGAGAATCATCTCCCATGTCCTATGATTCCGACAAAACAGGAAACAGAAACATCTTCCCACATGTTCATACCACGACATGACGGATTTGCCGAACGCTAACGGCGGCCACAGTGTCTTTCCAGCAAGTTTGTTGAGCGCCATTAGTGAAGTTCTTGCTCCATCTTTTGCAGAAGGGAAGTATGGCTAATTGCAGCAGCACAGAAAAACAGAGACAGGTAAGAATAACATTCCATTTTATCGTTGAGACATCTCAGTTCGAAACGATTACACGAAAAAGACAATCGAGGAAAATGACGACTGGTACTCACTGGTGCAACAAGCGTGACTGATCCGACGAAGTTGGGGTATTTAGCAGCTAAGGCCAAAGCAACTACGCAGCCCATGGAATGAGCCACCAAATGAAAAGAATTCAACTGGAATGGCGAGATGACGGATTTGTCGATCATTTCAACATGATCAATCAACGTATACTTACTGTCATTTGGCTTCGGACTTCTTCCAAATCCCAGAAGATCAACGGCAAATAGCCTGTAATGACCCTTCCACGATTCGGATAGGTGGCTGAAAACTGTTTCTGTCCAAAATGAAGAAGATGAAAGGAACCCGTGCAAAAATATCACATTTTCAGCTGCTTGATCTCCTGTTGGGACCTCAGTTCCAACTGTCAAAAAAATGGTCTAAAATTACTCAGATTTCTGATTTTGAGTTTCATGCAACTCAAGAGTAGGGGTGTAACTGAAAAAAAAATCCGATGAACTGTGTTCGTGAATAATTCATATTTCCTTTGTTTATTAAGATAAGTGTGTTTGGTTCGTTTATATTTACGAATAAACACTTTTATCTAATTTTATTATATATTTATACATTTTAAATATTGATTAAAGTAGATATTAAATTAAATAAAATATAAACTTTATAGTCCAAATTATAAAGTTCAAATATCTTAAGGACTGATAGTATAATTTTATTATTTTTCTTTGACTCGTAAATTAAAAAATAAAAAATATATTTATAAACATTAAATGAATATGTTTTAGAGATATAATTGATCCGAATATAAATAAATTTAAAAATAAATAAATGAAAACAAATCAAACATGAACTATTTAAAAAGTAAATAAATGAACACAAACCTAACCTATTCGTTTGATCTGGATTAATTTACATAAATGTAAAAAGGAAATTTACCTTGCGGAAGATGTTTGACGATAACATGAAGCTTGTGAGGATGGCCCTGCTTGGTCCACGAAGCACATGAGTTGCATCCACAGTCAGACCATCGATTCACCACCAAACTTCCATCGACACCACCATCCTTCTTCTTTCTGGATATCTTCCATTTCCTTGAAAAACTTTCTCTCCTCCCATACAGACTCTCCGATAACGTTCTCTCTCCGTCGTTTCCGCAGTAACACGGAGTGCGGGCTTCACCTTCGAAGAACTCATCAACTAACTCGAAAAGCACACAAAGAAGGGCGTCCAGAAAGTCCAGGAAAAGAAAGACGAGACAGGTGAGGGAGTGGAGGAGGGTTTTGCCACACTTGCGTGTCCATTTTGCTGCCAAATTCTCAGCGGACATTGATGAGGAAATGCAGAGGAAAGTGGTACAAACGCAAGTGTGTGACAAATGGGGAAAATGAAAGGAAGTGGACAGGAAGTTTACATATGGTGATAAGATGAACGTAGTTGCTAGATGTGTCTGGAAATAAAGAAAGAATACTCTTTTGAAGAGAAAAGTATTTGGAATTTTCGTTTCTTTTTTCCCCCGAGGGTCCCAAGAAAATTACATTACTACTATTCGTTTCAAATTATATGTTGTTGAAAATGCTTTTTCTGTTTTTTTTTTATTTTTAAATTATAATAATAAAATTATATTTTATTAAGGGTAAACTACACCTGATGGTCACTGAAATTTTAGGGCTTTCACCTTGGTTACTGAACTTTTAAAACTTCAATTACAATCACTAAATTTTTAATGTGCTTTCATTATTGTTATTTTCATTAGCTACCATTGAGATGGCATGACACTTTAAAGTCTATGTTTTTATTTATTTTCCCAAAAGAAAACTTTAAGGTTTCAAAACTTGTTTCCTTCTAAATTATTAGACGTTGTTCCTCTTCCTTTCGTCTTTATTTCTATTTTTATTGACTCGTTTTTTGATTAAAAAGATCATTAACTATTCATATTTTTCATTTTTATTTCGATCGAAAATAAAAGATATAATTTTTTGATATGCTATAATCAACAATCGAATCAATTTAAAATCAAATTATGTTAATATTCTTGTTGAAAAAATATTTTCATCATTGGAATTAATCAAAGACCACTCTATTCACCATAAACTCACCAAGATCAAGATGAATTGTTTCCTTTTTCTCTTCTTTTCTCTTTACTTCTTTGTTTGCTTTTGTTATTTTTTATTGTCTTCCGCTATTGGTGATTGTGAATGTGGACAATGATTGAATAGGAACTCTTGTAGTGGCTTGAGTTTTGGTTGGTTTACCCATGGATGGTGAGGGAGTTTTAGTTGTGTTTGAGACTTAGATGAAATAATGATGATGGATGATTCAGTGATCATGGGAAGATAGTGAAGCTCTTGAGTATGGTGAATGTTACGTTTAACGACGATGACGATAAAAAAGATGTCAAACGATGATATCATATGTGATGATGTCGATAAAAGTTTAGTGATTGTAATATAAATTTTAAAATTTTGATGACCAAAGTGAAAGAGACAAAAAAGTTTAGTGACAATCAATATAATTTACCTTTTATTGATCTTAAACGTATTAACCTACTTTTGCTCGAGTTATGATCAATTTCAATTTAAGGACCAATATGAATGTTAGTCTAGTTTATCATGTTAGGTTGAATTTGATAAATTCGAGTTGAATTTTGACTTTGATGCATAAATATTTTAAAAACTTTTGGGGCCTTGCTACGAGGCTATGTATTTAATGGAATGGATGGGAACATGGCTACTTGACATTCTCCTATCCCCATTTGGTGATGGCTCTAATAGAAGTCAATAGAAACGAGACTTTTCTTACACGGCAAGGTTAGAGAAAGAGGCTTTAAAAAGCCAAAAAGTGAGCCTTAGCATAACCATGGAAATGAAAGGAAGCTTTCTGTGGATACTTCAACATCTCTACCTCTAATACGCATATCATTTTACGACAAATTATGCATTTTGCTCATGTCTCGTAGGTTTTGTATTGGATTGTTCCGAATTTTGCAAAGTAGACAATTTTGTACTAGTTCTATCCATGCTTGTTTCTCATCGACTAATCCGACCTAACAGATCATATGCTGCATCAGTAGCATTATTTACGAGCAAATTATGGCTCACGCTGCTAATCACAAAGTGCCAAACTCAAACCTATCTTATATACAAGATTTTGATCTTTTTCTATTGACCAAAACTTTTAAATATGAAATGCAAATTTCTTTCCCACCATTCCTTTTACATGATTATAATTTTATCATCTCACCGGAAATTTGCACTCCTATTACCCGACGAAGGAAAAGCCTCTTGTCGTCTAGCTCGAGGAAATCGTTTATTCCCAACATTTATTTGCGGCAGCCGAACTTCTTACGGGCTGAGTTTACTCGGCCTCCCGATTCTTCCGCTGCATCTTCTCCAAATTTAAATTGTTTCCTGGCTGCTTCATAATCAAAGCTGCGATTCGGTTTCTTCAGAACCTGAACAGTTGCTCCAGTAGCCTATACAGGGAACAGATATTTTAGCCAGCATCTATGGATCAGAATATGATTTGCCATGCAACCATGAAAGATTAACTTACAACCTTAGGCGAAGGTGGACTCTGCCCTGAAATGGCAAAATTACCTCTCACAGATATTGAGATATCATTCAAATCTGGCTCCATATGGCACCTTTTTTTGTTTTCTGTCCGAGTCAAGTCCAGATATACTGCTTCGGTGTTTAACCATACTTTATGCAGAGAAGCCGGCTGTACACATTTCTCATCAGGTCCCCCAATGCCACCATCTATGATTTCTGTTCTACCATTTGTGATCTTCAAGTTTCTCCGTCATTAACTGCTACATTCTCTTCTGAGGCCTGCACAGCAGAAACCTTACACTCATCTCAACAAACAGTAAAAATAATTAAACACTTTTTCAACCCATTGCTGGTTCATTGAAACGAACAGTAATGAGGAAGCAGCACAAAGGAAAAATACCAATCAACACTTTTTCAACCCATTCTTGAAACTAACATAGACTCTAACGCCAATTAAATAAGAGTTTACCAAATTTTATAGAACCGAACCAATTAACCAGCATATCATTCACTTTTGTAATTCCAATTGATAATTGTGTGATGAACATTATGACTTGACTTGAATGTCGTTATTTATGGCATCACACAACTCATGATGCTATTTTTATTTTTAGATGATCACAAGCCATTTGGGAATGGAAAAGAAAAATGTGATAACGCAATAAATTTAACCAACAAAATTTATCAACAATAAATCAAGATTAGGATTAGCGAATCAGCGTAACAACTCTTACCTGTAGCACGCGACCCATTTTAAGTTGTTCAGCAGCAGCTTCAAATAAGGCAGCATTCTTTATAGAATGTTTGATGATGCTAACAACTGCACCGAGATTTAGCTCCACATATGGGTGTTTAGATTTCAACAGTCGACGTAACTTGCCAGTCGTTACAGGCATCTGCTTAGCTTTTTACAGTAAGAAAAGTAGAACTAGTAAAAAACACGGATAAGTAGTAGAAAAAAGGATACCCGGTGGAAACTGATAAAAATTGAAGAGTTCATACCAATTTCAATAAGTATTTTGTTCGGCAATACATAGCCAGTACTTTCATCCTCTGAACGTGCAATACGGTCTCACCAGTCATAAAGTGCCTGCAAGCCATTTAAGTGCGACTTATAAGCCAAAGAGATGGGCATCATCTACCTAAATTTCAAAATCAGGCTTCACATCATATACATGTATCAAAACTGAAATTGGCTATATCTTGTGACTTATCAACCAATCTATTTGTTATTTTAAGAGTAAACCAAAAAGGCCACGTAAATATGAAAGCAACACAAACTTACAGAGACAATTGCTAACTGCCCGGCATGTAAACCAGCCGCCTGCAACCAATATCAAGTAGCGGAGAATAAATGCCATAATTTAGTCTGGGTTAGAATGACACATTTAAATATTCATGGAATCAGGCACTGTAGTCTCAGAAATTAACAAACCCGTATATGTGGAGATATGAATTATTTGTCAGCAGCTCTTTCTCATATAGTTGCATGCATACATCAGAACTACGCTTGTAGAGCTGCTAGTAGGAAAACCTTTTCCAGTAAGATAACGGTCAAAATAAATACCGGAAAGAAATAAAGTTCTCAAATTCATACATCCATGTAAATTTCTTTGAAAAATAGAACCAACAACCAAAAAGTTAATTTCAAGGTGAAAAATAGATTATGCATTGAAGGCTTGAAGCTTGAACAAAATAGAATGTCAAAAGCCAGAGGAATATGTAAAGGAGCACAACGCTTCTATGAATTTAACTATGATTAAAGACTACTGAAATCCCTTAGCTTCTCATAATCTCATCTCCAGGAAGGGTAAGACTATGATATGACAAGCTATGGTGAATGTAGAAAATGATGTGAATTATGATTCATAGCTTTGTACCACTACCAAAGGAGTATCACAATGTTCAGGTTCCATAGGCATTGATAGCAATTTGATTCTCATTAAATCATAAATGTACAACAAATAGTGTGTGTCTTCTGTAGCATATCTGTAATCAAAAAACATATAATAAAATCAAAGCAATTAGGAAACCTAAAACAATGAAAGTTTCCTTATATATAACTACATTAACAGAACCTTTAAACTTTTTTCTTCAATCCTAGAGAGAGAATTGTATTTTAGTGTCAAAGGAACAATCATAAATAAAATGCATAGTGTTTTTACTTCATATTGATGAGAAAATCGAAACTAGCAACTATCTACATCTTATTTGATTGTCTAGTTTCTCCCATAACAACAAGAAAAATGGCATTAATGCTAATCTTGCAGATTAGAGGGTTAATTTTTTCCTAATAAATGAATAATGACTAAAACAGAGAAGAAAACAGATGCTGGTAAAAAAAATTAATGTGACCTGAGCATTACAGCAGGAATGAGGACGCAATCTCCAATCTCCATTTTGATATCTGCAAGGAATTACTATATTAATCAACTTTAAGGAAGATAAAGCAGACAATGGTTAAAGTATAATGAAGGATATCAAACAAATTTAAACAAAAACCTACTCTTTGTTGGCAGTAATTCCACAAAAGTGTTGCAGAAGATGCTCCAAACTATTTCTTTCCATTTTCAAGACCCTTGAGGCCTGAGTACCATGCAAAAACATAAGTCAACAAATTGGTAGATATCCAACAAAAATTTTTACTTCAATTCAGACAATTATTTCATGCATATATAATTGCACTCAAAATTATGCCTAAGCATTTCCATCAAGACACTGGCACTTCTTATAAAAAAATCAAGACAATGGCACTTAAAGTACAGTAATTAGGTTCTTTAATATGCAGTGAGCAGTAACATTCCCAAGCCTATTAGGCTATAACATATTTAACATCCTCAATGAGATCCAATGAGAATAAC